TATATATATATATATATAAATTATATATATATATATATATATATATATATATATATATATATATATATATATATTCATTACATTGCCATAATTTTGTAAACACAAAGGAACCGAGTCTATAAACACCCCCTTTATTATATTCTCCAAATATAATAAAGAAAACATGCAACTTTATTTCATTCAACGGAACGGAACCGTACGGTTAGTTCAACGCCGTCATCAGATGACGGAATGCACGAAAGGGCCGACGGTGAAGTAAGCGATATTCCCAAGGGCTGACTGAACGACGTTGACCAGACTCAGTGACGCCGTGAGAACGCCGTCCGGTGGAAAAACCGAGCAATCAGCCCCCGGTAGATTAACGTTGATGAAGCAACGAGAAGGGTCGAAGAGAATTGTGTCTAAGAGTTTCACGACGACCGTGAAAGCTCCGGCCGGATCCGTAAGGGCTTGGCCGAGCTCCGTCCTTCCTCCGCATGATAGACTGACCAGGGCTCCTGGTAACGGAGCGCTATTCCTGATTAGGTTTCCGTTAACTGAACAGTACAGGAGGCCGTTAATTCTGACGGAGCCGATCTCTAGGCCGTTAAGTTTGAGGCCGTGGCTGAGGGATGAGAAGGAAAGTAAGAGAAGGATGGTGGAGATGATGAGAAGAATGCTGGAATTCGCCATTTGTATGTTTGTGTGTGCGCGCGCTGTGTACAAGCCATGCAGCTGGAGGTGTATATATATTGCTCGTGTTGTGTAGGGTCTATAAGGAAAATAACATTTTTATTAAAAAATTGCACTCCTAAGCCATTGAATCTATCGTCACTCCAAACCAATAATACATACATATATACGTATATAAAAACATTGGAGTGTTATATATATATATATATATATATAATTGCATGGGAATGTAACCGTTTTAGTAATGGAGAAGCGAAGCAAATCAAACCCATTCCTCCCAGATTTTGGGGATCCGTAACGGGATGATAAGATTGATCCTCCCATCCTCTTTATCAAAAGTGATGTCAAGGAGTAGACACGTAACAAAGTTGTCAATTACAAATACAGTAGAATACATAATATGGCATGTATTATTAAAATATGGCAAAAAAATAAACCAATATTAATAAATAAAATACACCAATTATCAAAATATACCAATAAATACTTCAATTCTTAAAATCGTTCACAATTCTCCCAACGGACTTTTTAACGATGTGAAATCATAAGAATTTTCGCTCATTGCCACAATGACATGGCATGCCATATAAATATTTTTTCATGTAAACATGACACATCAATGTCAACAATAAAAAATATAAAATCGATCGGTTTAACCAGTTTAGATTCAAATAACCCGGTTTAACCGGTTAGTTAAAATTTCAATAAACTGAATAACCAGTATAACCGATTTAGGGGGTAACAAATAGCATCATAAATTGAATCTAGGGTTTTCTACCCTAAATCGATTTTCATCAAAGCTCTCAATTTTCTTCCTGACTCTCCCTTCCGACACAACCAACATGACACGAACAACGTCGGCGACAACCTTTTGTTGATTTTGTGAGTGTTTATGATGAATTCAAAGAGAAGGGAGTAGAATGGTGATTAGAAATATTAAGTGTTTGAACAAAAAGAATGAAGAAGAAGAGGAGCTCGAAGAAAATGGAGAATCATCTCCATTGTTCTTATTGAATATCAAAGGCATACAAGTTTTCAAATAGGCCAAGGGGCGACGTCTACAAAGCTACAAAAAGAGAAAACAAATCTGATCCTAACGGCTATACGCTAAACTCTGAAACGAAAACAATCATGTGACATTCATCGTTTGATACACTAAACTCTGAAACGAAAACAGAGCAAAGAGTTGGCTTGTTGTTGTTCGTGAGTTTCGTTTGTGTGAATTACATGTTTGAAGTAAAAAGAATTTACAAAAAAAAAAACTAAGGATCTAACAAATATTTACTAATAGATGAATATCTCTTATATGAATTCAAGGCATGCGACGTTAAGTTCGCTATGATTCTTTCTGAAATTTCATGAGATTCGTCGAATTCAAAATAATAACTGGGAAAAGACATACATCTTATTAATGGCTTAATTTTGGAACCATAGAATTTGTTACAAAAGAAGGTACAACAAGAGAGCTTACTATGGAGCAAATGCATCACTTATTTCAAACGTAAAAGCGAGAACGTGCATGGCTCATGCATGCACTTGCGTACGTACTTTCATATGTACCTATGCATTGATAAAAACGTCATCAAAGGACAGAGTACGTGAAGAGACCGGTGGCAAAGTCGGCCACATTTCCAACAGCAGACTGAAGGATAGTGACAAGTCCGATGGCGGAGGTGAGGGCACCGTTCGGGGGGAAAACGGAACACGTGGCGACCGGAAGATTAACCCTAATGAAGCAACGCGAGGGGTCGAAAATAGTCGTGTCGAGAATTCTCAAGATGACGGTGAATACTCCGGCGGGATTGGTGATGGCTTGGGCGAGGTTGGTGTTTGCTCCACCGCAAGACAAGACAGCGATGGCGCCGGAGACTGGAGGTCCGTTTCCGACAAGGTTTCCGCTGAGGGCACATGTCAAGAGACCGGTAACGTTAACGGTGGCGATTTGGATGCCGTTAATTGTGAGGGCGTGTGAAAGTGATGAGAACGAAGCAATGAGAAGCACGGAGATGAGAATCACTTTTGAGTTCACCATCTTCCTTCTTTTTTTTAAAAATGATTTTGAGAATTGTTTTGATTGTGGTGTGGTGTGGTGTGGTGTGGAGATGAATTATTTATAAGTGCATGAGAATATATATTATAATATGCAAGTTGGGTTATGGATGGATTTCAGTATGGGTGCGTATTGTGATTCGTATCTCAAAGTTGGTCCTTTTTTGTCAGTTTGAATTCTAAATATATGATAAAAAAAAAAAATTGATTGTTTTCTTCCGCATTGGCAATATTGAAAATTTTATTTAATTTGAGGCATATTTAAATATATGAAAATTATTATTGTTTTCCAAACTATTTTTCATTTCTTATTTTATATACTCGTAATTATCACTATCATATTCTTCGTATTTTCGTAGACTCGTCTAATATAAACGGTATATGTGTATTCTTCATTTTTCAGAACATATTCTATTAGGCCTGAGTTTATTTGGAAAAAAAGAAATCAAAACGGATTGAACGTTTGAAAAGCCGGATTTATAGAACGTTCTATAAAATTTAAAATAAAAAATTGTAGAAATTCGAGTATTTATTACTTATTGATATAAAAAAATTACAATTAAATCTTCAAAAAATCAGTTATTTATAGTTAATTGATGATGTCGATCTATGATATAATCTAATCTCATTTTAAATATCCTAAACAGAACTATCGCAAGTATATGAGTCGTTTATACTATTTAATGTCAATCACTAGTGATTCACGTGAATCATCGGGATACAAACGCATAGATTCACTAGCAATATGGATTAAACTAATACTCGGTACGCGATCTATGGCGATTTTGGAGGTGATGAGTGATACTAATTACTATGATAATTCATTAATAAGAATATAAATAATGGGTATATATACAAATGGAGGGATCAACGTTATAGATGACAAAAATTATCAGTTATAAAAGGTTCGTTGATTATATACATATATATATATATATATATATTTTGATGATATTTTAGGTCACCACCAAAGAAAATAAAAACTACTACAACAAACTTAACATGTGTTGAAAGTAGTGTTAATTCTATTGTTGAAAGTAGTTCGTGATTTAAACATCTCAATTTAATATGATGACAAAAGTTAATTGTAGTTGTTATTGTTGTAGGACGTACCTTTAATTTCCAACATAATCAAGCCAAACAATTCAATCAAAAATTCCGAATCAACAATTCAATCATCCTCCAATTGTTACTTCATCATCAACCCCTCCAATTCTTGTTTCATCATCACTCCCTCCCATTGTTGCTTCATCATCACTCACTCAAATTGTTATTTCATCACCATACACTAGTAAAAAGTTTCAGGCTTCGTGACAAAAAAAAAATCAAGTATGGTATCTCTAATCCATCTTTTGTAGACTTGCGTTGTCAGATATGTAGGGTCTTATGACTCTCAAATTGTTATTTCATCACCATACACTAGTAAAAAGTTTCAGGCTTCGTGACAAAAAAAAAAATCAAGTATGGTATCTCTAATCCATCTTTTGTAGACTTGCGTTGTCAGATATGTAGGGTCTTATGACATAGTAATCCACTTTTTTTGTAATTGTGTTTTCGTATCATGTTTTTGGATATGTTGTGTAATGTCTTAATAAGTTTTCGAATAAGTAATGCATTATGAATCTATTTTCGAATATGTGTATTGTCAGTTTTTTCTTTTCCTTTTTATAATTCATAATCTTAATCATTCAACAAAATATCACAATCCATTACACATCATTTAACTTTTCATATCAATCCATATACATTCTATATATCCAACAAAAAAATACAATCCATTACATTCCATCCAATCAAATATCACAATCCATTACATTCATCCAACAAAATAGTACACACTCCATTACACACCATTCAACATATTACATAAGTCATATGATGATAACACATAATATTAAGTAAAGAGGATCACAAAAGTTAGGGTGACTCCAACAATTTGGAATCGACTTGTTTTGTATTCAGCCATTTGTTCTTCCATCTTCTTCAAATTTACATTCACCTTCTACATCTCAAGGTTCATATGCTCTTCAATCTTCTTCAAATTATCATTCACCTTCTGCACCTCAATGTTCATATGATCTTCCATCTTCTTCAAATTCACATTCACCATTTGCATCTTAAGGTTCATTTGTTCATCCATCTCCTTCATTTTCACATTCACACTCAAAATCTTAATGTTCTTTTATTCTTCTATCTTCTTCAAAGTCACATTAACCTTCTGTATTTTGAAGTTTAACTTCTACAACTCATTTTTGAAATCTTCTGAATTTGATTTCATTTTATGCAATTCATTACAACAATCTTTATTTTTTTCAATCAACGCATCATCAAACCATTTGAAGAAATACGAATATTTTCTCTGAAATATTGCAGAACATAAGCATCTTTAACTTCGAAACATAACAAAAATCCCAAAATTATAATTAAATACAAACCTTATGTGAAGTACAAGTAAGAAAACTCTTCCTCGATTCTTATTTGTTTTTTATGTCCTTCTTGAAACCGATCCTCTACATTCACATCGATAAGGTATATCTTTAGACTGACTTGATTCACTTTTTGGTCATTTTGATTTAACATTCGAATTTGGAAGACTTTCAAATTGATAACTCATCTCAAACTGTTTAAAAAATTCATCAAACACATCACATTGTAAAAATAATCGACCAGATAGCATTTAATTTCAGTTATCAACCATAACCTTCTCTGATTTCGAGCCTATTAGCATTTCATTCTGTTAAACCCTAAAACTCTGAAATTTTCGAAGTTAACCTTTTCGGTCGGAGTCGAACGATGTCCAAGTTAAACAAACATGAGTCGCAATTTTCCAAACATCTACACGAATTATTAAAATTAACAGTAATTACATATATAATCATCATTTTCGTTAGACTTTTTCGGTGCTGACGTGTATGATAGATACACTAATTACCTAACTAATATGTTAGTTAATAGAATCTAAACATGTTTAATAAAAATGATGATTATATATATAATTTCTGTTAACTTTAACAATTCGTGTAGACGTTAAAAAAATTTGAATTATTTTTTGTTTAATTAAAAATACGTGTATGAAAAGGTTATATTTGGCTAAATTCGCATAGAAAAATATCATTTTTTTATTATTACGGTATTATATAATATAGATGTATTGGTTAACGATACGAGATTATAGATATATTTTTAACAGTTTTGAGGAATAATACGTGTAAAATATGTTAAGGACCATCATGAGTCCATAATTACAAAAAACAAAAGGGGGGGGGATGGACCGCTGAGCCCAATAGACCATGAAATTAAACACACTTATGGGACCCCAAACTCTCTAAGAGTTGACCTCAATACCAATAATTAGTGCTTCCCCATCTTACCTCACTCACACCTATGGTATGGAATCAAAGAGATTTTAATTATAAAAAAACATGTGATGACGTCACCCCCTTTTTTGTTATCTCACGTTGTTTAACGACTCTGATATTCGATCAAAGAAAAGGATTATATTCCACGAAAACGACATACAAATACAATCACTGGAACATAAAATCCTAATAAACATTAAAACACAAGCCAACAGCTACGATCTTCTTGCTTTTTCTGCTGTATATTTTTTTTTTGGGGGGGTTAAAGTTCTTGGAGAAGGGGAGACAGATTTCGAGTAACCGATCTAAAATACCTCAGATTTAGTATCAATGAACCAATTCTGTCCGAATCAGACACAGTTCTTCAAGGAATCTCCAGCTCCCTGGAAAAACAAATAAGAGAGCACGAAATCTGCAACGAAGATACCAACAAGAGATATCACAACCGCTGAAGTTGTAGATTCTCCTACCCCTTTGGCACCTCCAGTGGTTGTGACCCCCCAAGAGCAGCTAATCACCGATATTATCGCCCCGAAAACCTGTGATTTGATCATGGCACTGATTATATCCCATGTTCTGAGCGCTCGATGAGCCGAGTCCATGATTATGTTAATGCTGACACCGTACACTCCATCTGCTAAAAGGGCGCTCGATGCCATCCCGACAGTGAAACACATGAGGGTGAGAAATGGCAGAGCTAGACATGAAGCGATGACCCTCGGTGTGATTAGATAATCTACTGGGTCTGCTCCAAGAACTCTCAGTGTATCGGTTTGTTCAGACACCTGCATGGTTCCTAGTTCTGCAGCAAATGCACTTCCCATTCGGCCCGCAACAACGATTGATGTGATGACTGGACTCAGCTCTCTTGAGAATGCCAGGGCTAGGACTCCTCCAACGGATCTGTTCAGTCCCAGTCTGGTGAATTCTCTGACGAATTGGATCGTGAATGCCATTCCAACAAATGCAGAAGTCAAGAGACAAACCCCCACAGATTTCGGTCCAATTCTCTCCAATTGTTGAAGAGTGTTTCTCCAGTGAATTTTACCCCTTAGAATCCGGACAATAACCTGCCCTGCTATGATTGGAACTGATAAACCCCTCCATATGTATTTAGACGGAGACCATTTGCTGAACGGCAGCTCTGGTTCTGGTGTAGGTGCGTGGTTTCCACTGGAGGTTTTTTCCAAAGTAGACATGGATGGGTAGCCATCATTGGCATTCAAGCTCGCATTTAATCTCTTTCTCCGAACGGATTTTGAAAATGTGGATGTCAGACTTCTTCCACAGGCCCCAAGTTGAGAAGGATTCAGGGGTTCAATCCGGATGGATGCATTACATCTTAGAAAACTTCTGCAAGCAAAAAAAAAAAAGGTTTGCAAGATCCAACATAAACATTTATGGTCAATTTGACAAGAAGCGAATGAACTCGGGACTAAGGCGATGTCGATGTTGATGATGTTGACAAGAAGCGAATGCCAAAGGTGTAACAATATGCCAAATAAATCTTAAGCTTCTTATCAGTCTCTCCCATACACATATTGCATTGATTTCCTTGGAAAGCCTTTCCACAGAGGAACCATTACTAGAGGAAATATTACACAACGATGCAATACAGACAAACACAGACACACAACTATCTGCTTCAAAATCTGTAACCAATATTATCCATTTTCAGTATCTTTGTGTCTACTGAGATGCAAAGTGGATGGAAAGGGTGAGGGGATGAGACAGCGAAGAGAGATACCGATGGGAGAAACAAAACGATTGATGAATACAACTAGTTTGCATCATTGTCGCCTTTCACTTTGGAGCTCACAGATCGACCTTGTGTTCGGATTTCAGGAACTTCATGAAAGATTCAAAGGCAGCACCACGAAAATGATCGCCCTGTCAATCGTAGTAGTAAGCATGATAAACCGAAGAAATCCTACGAATCTCAATTTCACTATCGCCGAACCTATACCGCCGCATCACAAAAAAAATTAACAAAAATCCATGGCGGAGACACATCAGAAATCGATCGGCAGAGAACTCAGGGTTTCCTCATGGACTATTAACCCACTGTAGAGGAAAATAGCGACGTAACTACTACAGTCAGAAGGAAAGAATCGGTGAACTGACCTGTTTGAGGCGAGAGAAAATCAAACCAAACAGCAACTTCCGCCAATTCTTCTATTCTTAGGCACCTCGAGCTGCAAGTGGATGTTCCAAATCCGGCGATGGCGATGGCGATGGCGATGGCGACAGCGACAGCGACAGCGACGGCGGAGAATGAGCTTCGTGCGATCGGATAAACTAATCGGAGAGGAAGACGACGACGACGAAACTTCCACACGTTTCTGGACACTAGTAGGTTTAGAGTTGGTTTCTTTCCAAACAGGAACGCACTTGTGTTTGCGTTTGCGTTTGCGTTTGCGTTTCATTTCCAACCACCGTTACGAACTTACGATAAGACGGAAAAGCCATGGCCTTCGTCGAAAATAACGAAAGAACCATAATATTACAATTTATTTATTTGTTTTGGAAGGTAAATTGTATTAATGAATAAACACATTTTGTCTCCGTACAAGAGAATGTTTGTTGACTTTGGATCGGTTTACAACAAAAAAAAATTGGATTTTATATTGGGACAGTTGGCAAACAGTAACAAAACAAAAACGAAATTTGTAAAATATCTCACAAAAATAATTTTTGCATAATATATTTTTTTTTTCTAAATACCCAAACTACCCTTTATAATATTTCTCTACGATTGTGTGATAATCTATCTTTCAAAAATCGGTAAATTTTGTTATTTGATCTTTTTTTCTATACTTATATAAGAAAACAAAATCCATATAAGTGTTTTTTCATGTATGTGGAGAAAACGAAATTCATGGAAGTATTTTTTTTGTGACAATCTATCTTTTAGAAATCGGAACACTTTGTTATTTGATCTTATTTTTTCTCCAATTTTTTCTATATCTTCTCTATTTCTTATATAGTTTATCTAATCTATTCAAATACTCTTCTCGTTGATTTTTTTCTGTGATATTCTAATCATTTTTTTGCATGTACATAAGGTGTTTGATGAAATGTCTGTACCATAAAACTGCGGCAAATGACTTGCGATCTGTGAAAAATGACATGCACTCTGCGTTAAATGACCTATGGTCTCTAGCAGATGACTGTGATATACCGCAAATGATCTGCAGTCTGCGGCAGGTCATTTGGCCTGCGATCGCCCTAATTTAAACCCTCTACTTTTTTTTTATCCAAAAAAACATTGTACTTTTAAAAATTGGCAATTAAAACTCTATACTTTTAAAAATTGGCAAATAAAACCCTGAATGAAAAAATATATTATTTAATGCTGACATTGCATCCTAGTCATCTGCCACATCATCAATCCCTAATATTTAATAATATTAATTAATACAAAATAAAATAAAATAATAATAATAATAAAAATAAAATTTTAAAAATTATACACATATATATATAATGAAATGATATAGATACAATAAATAATCGTGAGATAAAGAGGGAAGTTTGGAAATGGGCAAGTTTAGAACAAAAAACCATGTATTTATCGCGATCATCCATGGTGTATATTTATCGTGAACATTTATAGTGTGTATCTGGATTTGATTTTTCTATACTTATATAAGAAAACAAAATCCATATAAGTGTTTTTTCATGTATGTGGAGAAAACGAAATTCATGGAAGTATTTTTTTTGTGACAATCTATCTTTTAGAAATCGGAACACTTTGTTATTTGATCTTATTTTTTCTCCAATTTTTTCTATATCTTCTCTATTTCTTATATAGTTTATCTAATCTATTCAAATACTCTTCTCGTTGATTTTTTTCTGTGATATTCTAATCATTTTTTTGCATGTACATAAGGTGTTTGATGAAATGTCTGTACCATAAAACTGCGGCAAATGACTTGCGATCTGTGAAAAATGACATGCACTCTGCGTTAAATGACCTATGGTCTCTAGCAGATGACTGTGATATACCGCAAATGATCTGCAGTCTGCGGCAGGTCATTTGGCCTGCGATCGCCCTGCGGACCTGCGGATATGCGGACCTGCCGCAAATGATCTGCGGTCTCCAAAATTTTCTCTATCTTCTCTATTTCTTACAGTTTATCTAATCTATTCAAATACTCTTCTGATTGATTTCTTTTTCTGTGATATTCTGATCATTTTTTTGTATGCACATAAGGTGTTTGATGAAATGTCTGTAAAATAAAATTGTAGAAGATGACCTGCCGTCTGTGAAAAATGACCTACGCTCTACGGTAAATGACCTACAACCTACGGCAGCTGACCTACGGTCTGCCAGATGACTTGTTGTCTGCGTTAGGTCATCTTTGGCACATACGTCACCTATCGCACCTGCTAACCTGCAAGTGTTTTTTCTATACTTATATAAGAAAACAAAATCCATATAAGTGTTTTTTTATGTATGTAGAGAAAAACAAAATTCATGCAAGTTTTTTTGGTACATCTCCGTTTTATATTTTTGGATAAACATGAATCCATGTGGAGATTTGAGAAGATATATTATATTCTTAATTCTTCCTATATCAAGTTTTTATGAACTGTTCAGTTTCGACGAGTTTATCTGTTCTGCGTAGTTTGTCGATTATTATGTAGCGTCGTATGGCTTTATTGTTTGTGATGTCGTGTCATTCGTTCGATCTTTGGAAGGGTTGCGAGGCGTTGAAGGGTCCGATCCAAAAGATCACAGGACAAGTTTCCAAATGTTTAAAAAAAAAAGAAGATGTGTTATAATCTTTTTTTTTTTTGAATGTGTGTTGTATTCCTATACAAAAAAAACATTGTTTTTACATCAACATTAGATTTTACAAAGATGTAAAAAAATAAGATTCCCATGGTCAAGCTGATAAAAGTAGTCGAATATATGTTAGTTAATGCCAATGGGATACCAAAACTGAAGGATTTCATTCGTGTCAATAACTCCCGGTTTTTATAAGGAGATGAATATGTTTCGTATTGATCTGTCGATTACAGCACGCAGTTGAACAACAGATCTGTAGATTTTTCAATGAATTTGAGAATTTCTTTCATTTTAAATTTCCAATATAGTATGTTGTATTGGAAGCTTCATAATGACAACTTTGTTTTTACCGTCAAGATTCCTTGCATAGTTTATCCATGGTAGACAACTCTAGATGTCCAATGGTGGGTTGCCTTTCGGTCTTTTCTGCGTGAAATTTTCAACAGCACTCTATTTTCCATACAACACAACAAATAATGGGAAAAACTCCAGGTGAGTTGGCAAGGAGTATATCCCCCATATTGAGAGGTTGGGGATTCGACTCCAGCCGCTCACCTGTCGTATGTCTGTTACGGCTGATTCACCTCTCACACGTGTGTCGCAGGCTCGTGCATGTGGATTTGGGTTTACTCAGTTCTGCACGTTCGAAGGGTGCACGCTGCGACCCCTGTGTTAGCGAGCCGCTGTGAGGCCATCATTGGCTTCATCCTTTTTCCACAATGTTTCCATTTTTCTTCAAAGCAGGCTTCCCTTTTATTTTAAACAATTTTGTTATTCTACCTGTTTTTAAATTTTGAACATATAATCATAAAGTTTTGTTGTATTTATTTAATCTTATTTATATATTTTATTTAATTAATGTTCAATTTAATAAAGAAACCAATAGATAAATTTTTCAAAAAAAAAATATCAATATTTTAAAATAGTGGTAATTTTTTAATAGTTAATGTATCGGATTCTCATAATCACTTCTCAATACAACTTTAACAAAAAAAACTCTCAATGCATGAACAAATTAATTTATAACTATTGTAAATATACAAGTAGACATCTAGTGGGATCCATATTTTCTAGTGGAACCCATATTATGCTCTTCTTCACTATGAAGAAGCTGACCCTTCTTCACTATGAAGAAGCTGACTCTTCTTCAATATGAAGAAGCTGACCTTTCTTCACTATGAAGAAGTTCCTTATATTTCTCTATAAATAGGTTAGTGATAGTTCATTTGTAACATACGAAATATGAAGAATATTCTCTCTCTTCTCTCCGTCATGCTCTTTCTCTCTCTAGAACATCTCTCTCTTGTTTTTCATCTTTCGTTTTCAACACGTTATCAGTACGAGACTCTGCCGATATAGAGGTATAAAAGAAAATATCATACAAAAGGTAATGTATGATTCTCTATCTTTATTTATCTTTAGTTTCATTATATATAGACATTGGGAGGCTCAACCACCGGTCAATAATATAAAACTAAACGCATATATTTATATTACATTCATATAGACTTCGCGGGCTCATCCACCAGTCAATGATATGAATGTTTATAAATATTACTGTTATTATCATAATGGTTAGCTATGCCACCTGTAAATATCATTATGCATATCTATAAGTATTACTATTATTATCATAATGGTTGTCTATGTCACCTGTAAATATTCTTATGAATATCTATAAATATTGCTATCATATTCTCTATTTCTTATAGTTTATCTCATGAATCAAATATTCTTCTGCATGATTTCTTTTTTTATAGTATTCATATGTTCATTTTATTTTCTACATACAAGGTGTTTGATGAAATTCCTGAAATAGAAAACGACGGCAGGTTCCAGTATATGACTTGGGCCTACAGCAGGTCACCTGCGACATGCGGCAGTTCATCGCAAGCGATATGCCACATGTCGTAAGTCACCTGCGACATGCGGCAGGTCGCCTACGACATGTTATATGTGACTTACGACATGCGGCATATCGCTTGCACATGCAGTCTGATGACCTGCTGACCTACAAGTGTTTTTCACGAAACCCATGCAAGTGTTTTTCTATACTTATATAAGAAAACAAAATCCATATAAGTGTTTTTTCATGTATGTGGAGAAAACGAAATTCATGGAAGTATTTTTTTTGTGACAATCTATCTTTTAGAAATCGGAACACTTTGTTATTTGATCTTATTTTTTCTCCAATTTTTTCTATATCTTCTCTATTTCTTATATAGTTTATCTAATCTATTCAAATACTCTTCTCGTTGATTTTTTTCTGTGATATTCTAATCATTTTTTAAGTATTACTATTATTATCATAATGGTTGTCTATGTCACCTGTAAATATTCTTATGAATATCTATAAATATTGCTATCATTATCGTAATGGTTGGCTATGCCACCTAAATATGAATATTATTTCTGTCATTATTTATGTTATTATTTCTGTGAAGGATGCCTATGCCACCTTAACTATTTATTTTATGCAACATGGACGGTATTACCGCCTAACAATATATTCATGATTATATCTATTGTTTTTACATGTGATAGATATGTCGAATC